CTTGTTATTCATAAACGCAATTTACACGTAGTTAGAATAAGGTACACTTGTGACCATTTTCAAACTGAAAACAAACTACGACGTCCAATAAATCACGTGTTATGTTTGTACTTAGTTGAATCAAAGTCATAATATCAGTACCACATTGCTCTACGATATTTAAATGTCTTGACACATCATGGCCGCTCTAATGACTTACGCGCGTTGTTCATCAATCCATAAAAATAATAAGTATTATTATGCTTAATTCCATTAAGATGATTTCCAAATAGCAAATCAATGATTCTGTTAAATTAAGATTGATATAAGTTAACACTTACCACGCTTAATGTCATAAATGGACTTGTCCGTCTTTTCAGATGGACAAATCCATTCATTTTTTAAAGGAAATTTTCAAAATATTTACTGGCTGAATAGCAAACAGAGCAGACCATGGCTAAACGGCAATGGTCACATGGGTAGAATCACTTGCCGCTAGCAGGCATAGGGTTTATATTTAAATTTAATGTCTCATGAAATCGTTATTCTTGTGATATATTTAATGTTATAACGTTTGAAAATGTAACAAATTTGTGCAATATAACCTACTATACCTATATATTGCAAGAATGATTACATGTAGTTGAAACATGAACATGTCTTGTTTATGTGAATTGGATCATCAATTTTAAATGAAAACTGTAGAAAATAGAAACTTGATTTAATTTATTAGTACAAATAATTTACTATGAATTAAACATTACATATTAAATTATGTCTCCAGTTTAGTTCATAATGAAATTTCGTGTAAGCTGATCTGATTTAACAAGATAATCTTAAAGAAAAAATAAACAAAAAACAAAATTAAACTAAAAATGAAACATTATGAACCTTTAATATCATTTATATCATAGTTTGGAGAAATAAATGATAAGCCTGTCCGTGCTCTGCCTTTTGCACTGTCCTGTTTTTGTTTGGGATCCTCCTAGGCTGGTTGCCACTGGCTCTTGTTACTGGGTCGTGTGGGGGTTGCTTTTTTGAACGCCGCCTTTTCTTGTTGATATTGTTTATCATAGTGTACTTTTGAAAATGTGTCAGCGTTAAATCGTATACAAATACATGCACAGTGCGTTAACTGAAGTGCATGTATAAGTTACCCGCACTCATTGGCTGTTTAGGGCATGCTCGATGATTGGCTCATTTTTCTGGGGTTTACTTATTGTATCGACAGGGAAAGAGATAAAGACAAAAGTCATATTTAGATGCTCGTACATTGGTTACTTTTGTCGTGGGTTTAATATTGTAACGACAGGGAACGTCTTTTTATTTTTGCCTATGATACAAAAGAGAAAGAACATCAAAAATACCGTGTTTCGATGCTCTTTCTATTACATGTACATACATTGCTCTTTATTTCTTACAAAAATTGTGATAGAGTCTTTAATAAAGACTTCTCCCTCTTTGTAATTATATGTTTATACGATTATATTCTCTAACAATAGTAGCCAGTGCAATTACCGTATTTTTAATTTTTAGTTTAATATTTTATAAAAGAGTGACTTTTATGTTAATGTCTTTTATAATTTATAAGAATGTCTTTTATGTTTCTGTTAAATGAATAACATTCAGAAGGAATCATAGAACATTGACAATTGTGAACAGTTGCAAATGAAAGATATTTATAAATTGCACAAATTTTATTAATCTCCGACGTATACAAAAGTTAAATATGTCTTTTTCAAGAAGTTGACTGTTATTTTTATGATAATAACTTATTTATTCTTAAAAGAAAAATATACATTGTACTTATAACGCCCGGATTTTTGAATGTAGATTATGTATGATTGTTTATTATCCTTGCTTAGAGACACGGCTATCAGAAACAAGAATAATGTGTGTGCAAGGTCATCCAATACATGTATGTTGTTTAGGAATTAATCTGTTAATAATTGTTTAGAGATCTTTGTTTTTGTTTGATATCTTTAACTGTCCTAGTTAGTTTATAGCCAGGTTTACATTTCAATGAATAGAATGAATTTATATTCATGCAGTGTAATCCTTATAAATAAATACATTTTCCATATTAACTAGGTCGTCATTTCGTATAAGCTGGTGCGAACAACATTGTTATGGAAAACAAATAATGTAACTTACACGTTTGCTTTTAAAAGCTCGTGAAAATTGTTTTTATCGTATTACTATATGCATGTATTGACAACAAAAAAGACAGTTCGTCATTTCCTCTCCTAAAAACTATTTTGTTTGAATTTACATGGATTTGAAGCATTATGAATGCCACGATGACATTATTATTGTGTCTGCATGCAGATTACATCTATTGATTTTAAGACAGAGGCAGAATATGGTAAACTCCCTTGTGACACGCATTTCTTCCTCGTGATTTCAAAGCAGCAATTAGTATTTCTGCTGATTTAAAACTGATGGGAGATATTTGCCACCAGACTGTGCGTCTTTTAAAGCTTCGATGTTGTTTAAGCATTGTTTAAAGAATTGTTTCATGAGAAAATATATAAATCTGGATAAAAACCGCAGAAAATCACAACTAGAAAAAAACAAACATTGATTTATATGTGTGAGATGTGTCGATTGAATAGAAAATGATGTATTAAGGAAACGGCGAACGGTTTTATCAGGGGAATGTTGTAGGAAACTTCATAGGATACTGAAAACATCAACCTAGAATACACTTTATTAAATCGAATCTTTTCTTACAATATTTTGTGCGAGATCTTTGCCTTTCATTGAATAATATCAGGAATAACGATAAAATAATAATAATAATAATAATAATAATAATAATAATAATAATAATAATAATAATAATTATAATAATAATAATAATAACTGCACTCATATATATCTTTTTTTTCAACGTGGCCTTTTGAAACAGTAATAAAAAACAACACATGCATAAAGGGACAAAATATAATGACTAAAACGTGTATAATAATTTTTTGTGTAATTTCTAGAATAAGACAACTCAATTTGCTTAATTATCAAAGTGATTGACTCAATCATTTTCTAAACGTAAAATATTACACTTTGAAATAGATTAATAGCCAAAAGAATAATATAAAGATTGAGATCCTTCACTATGTTACTCCTTGTACAGAAAATTAAAATGATTTAACAGAAATCCAATTGAGTTTAGTTTTACGATGTGTCGTGTTATGAGGGACATAAATCTACGGAAAAGGAAGTCATGAAACTTATTTGTTGATGTGATGCATGCGATGTTTTATTACATTGTTAAATGACCTGACTTATTTAATACAATACGTTCTCAATATAAAATGAATAAAATGACAAACAAACCATAAACAAATACGAGACTCTCGACGCCTGAGAGAAATTATCATAGGGGATTAAACGGGGGGCTTTTATTTTTTTGAGGCAGACAATAATCTCATTAACAAAATTGGATATGTGAAAGCAGCGATCTCGATGTAGCAGGAGCGTTAAGAGTCATGTACGCTCAATGTTTTGACAGTGATGAAATAGTGAATCATCACTGTTCCAGTGACACTACCCTTCTAAGGCACAGCAACATTACAGGCATTCATATATACATGTTTGTTATGCCTCGATATATCATTCAATGGGAAACTCCGATAGGCCTTTTGTGTGTTCTGCTCCTAGGATATGTTTCCTGGGGAATATTTCTTATATCACCCTGGGGCACATAACTCGTGCATACATCCATATTCAGCAAATATTGTGGTTAAGGTCTTTCGGTATAATAAAATAAATAATACATGGCTGCCTGGGTGATGACGTTATTGCCAACACTTGAACTGGCATTTTACCCCTCGGCTGCCCCTCGAGGTAATATACCAGTTTTTGGGTTGACAACATCCTCTATCACCCCGACAGCCATAATATGTCATTGAAAATGGGAATAAATGGAGAAATACCGAGGCCGATTTTATTCGTGAAATATTTTGTGCAATGTATCCTGTTATTAAATACATGTACAGGTATTGATTATTGAAGAAGTAAATGTATCTTGTTGAAAACTGCTAGTAGATAATATGACAAGCAGAGTTCAATCAAGTGTCTTGTCAATAAATTGATTGTAGAAAAAAACTTGCTTGAGCTGTAAACTCCCTGATTGAGTGATAGTTCATGTGGCACATCTAATTTACTCGTTAAAGGTAAACTAGCTAAGGCACAGTTCTGTAGTTTGTTTTTATCATTTTGATATTTTTTTGTTAGTTGAAAATTTTAATTGGTACAATAAGTAAAAATGTTGCCAGGTGTACAAAATAGATAAAGGCACTTTGTTTTAATAAAAAAACTACTTGTCAAGACATGTAGTAGTTTCGTCTACTCCCAAATGAAATAAATATATTGTTATAAATATAGTATAATCTGTCAGAATGGATTGATATATCCAAAACTTGTTATAAATATAGTATAATCTGTCAGTATTAGATTAATACATCCAAAAGTTTCAACTGTATTGTTGATATCCAAAAGTTTTGTAAACTATAGATAACGTTAAGATATTTTTTTATTTTTTAAAATATGGTCCAAAAGAGAAAGCCAATGCTAGAGGGTGTGATAGGGCATGCAGTATGTTGCACTTATCTCACACGAAAAAAAGGTGGGACAGAAATAGCAATTTTCACCTTTAAACTTTTTTTTATTGCTGTCAATGAATCTTATATTTTCCGGATTTGTTTTAAAATAAAATTTGCAAAGAAAAAGAAGTTTTAAATGACAAAAGTAAACAAAAATGTGTGTATTCAATAGATAAAAATATAAATCAAAAGCCAGAGACCATAATTACCAAAATTATTACCACTATTACATAAAAGAACTATTTGTCAGACAACTATGTAACTCTGCACCTATTAAACAAAAATAAAAAAGTACTTTTACATGTCCATTCGCCTGTTACCCCGATTCTGTTCTGTTGGGTGGTCCGCTATGAGCGGCTGCCTTCTGTGAACGTAGCTCTCCAATGTTTATCTGTTTTCGTATTTGGTATTTTTCAGATTTTGTCTTGCATGCATTGCTCGTTCTAATGAAACTGAAATGGGATGTGATACAAGTAAAACTGAAAGTAAAGACGATGTTGAATTCCAAGAAAATGGCGAGGACTTCTCTGACAATCAAATAGACTCAATAAAGAGCACGTGGCCATTGCTGTCTCGCAACACACTCACCACTGGATTAGAATTATTTCGTCTGATATTTTTGACCGAGCCACAGATTAAATCTCTTTTCATGGAACGAAAGTAAATAAGATCTATTATTTCTTAAAAGTTATTCAGATATTAGCCACTTTTTACCTAATAGATAATTAAAAGATTTAGACAGGTTACGGTTCTATACTGGTTACTAAACAGTCGTGTTTTTGTATTGGTACAATCTAAAATTTACTGATTAATAAACTTGGTAACGCAAGTTACGTCCATTTTACTGCTCTATACATGCACTTTATGTCATTGACTGGTGATACTATACGAAATTTTGTACTCGATCACCAATATCATAAATTTTTGTGAGTGGGTTAAAATGGAAGCTTCGGAAAAAGTTATGAAAACAATGGGTTTTTTTCGAAGTCTCTCAAGTCTTAAAACATTTCATATTATACACATTAGCACTCATCACATTCTTTCACGCTTGCAAAATATCAAGCCAGTGAGTCTTTTCTTGAGAATGTTATAGGTGTCCAAAATAGCCCGGTCGACGTGAAACTGTTGCAGTTTGGCTGCTGATGATGGCAGAAACGCTCTGAAATAGGTTTAAATTCTTAAAGCAATCAAAATCATTCATTTATTAGTTTCAATCCTCGTATCATACATTTATCCATAACTGAGACTTTAAACTATTGTTTGTAATGTTTTTCTTACGACAGAAAATATGTTAATGCAGTAGATGCATCAAAAAAGCTTTTTCATAGACACGCAGTTATAGGACAACTAAAAGAAAAGCAATTAACATGAAAACGTTTAATTTGTTAGTAAGCATTAATATATAACTATAGTATAGTAAGCATTATATCACTCACTTTACTATTGTTCATAACAAAGTGTTATTCATCCCGTCTGTCATTTTTTATGTGATTGACACAATGATTTTATCAGAAACTGTGACGTGCTCACGAATGAGTACGAAATAGCGCGTATGATATTCATAAGGAAAAATACCAACACCTGAATCCCAGAGGCTACATTAATAAGTATTATCATTATTAACTCTCTGGGTGCCTTACCGATGGTTCCGTGTCGTCGCGTACTCTTCTTTCCTGAGCTTTCCTTTAATAAATTTTATCTTATATTTGCAGAAATATACAGGATGATGATATTCTAAATGATCCAATTTTCAAAGAGCACATTGAGAAGTTTATGCAAACGTTAGGACATGTTGTAGACACATTAGACACTAATAGGGATGAATCGGAACAGACTTTATTACTTCTCGGTGCAAAACATGGAATGATAGAAGGGTTTAAAGAGGACTATTTTTCAGTGTACTCTAGTTGTATGATAGATACTTGGGAATCGGTAATTGGAGAGGAATTCATAATCGAGGTGAAAGAAAGCTGGGAGGCTTTGTGTGTTTTTATAACACGGTTTATGAGGGAAGGATACGCTCTTTACCAACAAGAAACTGCAAACACTGAGAGTGACAATGAAGCAGCAGTATGAAGAATTTTGAAAATGCTTAAAATGTTATACGTATTAAAATGGCAAGAGGTACTTGTATTATTAAAATTCAAAACAACTGTTGAACATTTTCTTTAAAACTGTTTTTGTTAGCTACTGGCTGATACATAATGAGGATACATTGCTAATGATCCCGGATTTTATTTATAAGAACTACAAGGGGCGTTCTAAACATAAGGGCGCGACTCGATTATGGTCAGCCAATATGCTGATATTAAAGAAGGTAAAAGTGCATTATTCTATTGTACTCTGCAATCATTCGGTTCTCAATGTGTTTTTATTCTGCAAAAAAGGGAGATCCAACGAAAGTAATGAAACACCGCTTGTCGAATGGGAAATACTTTTATGGTGTCGTTCATTTTAATTTATATTTTTATTATGTTTTGTTTTTTATTTTCATCTTTTTGTTGAAGTTATATGTTATGATAATCAAATTTTTTCACACAGAAATTGCTTTATCACATTTTTATTAACTTAAGACATATCTTAATCGAATTAAACTTGTGTACCTGTACAGTAATATAAGAGGGTGAAATAGTTCTTAGGTATAAGGACACGGGGAAAGCCATCTTTACGGCGAACATTGTGCCTACTGAGTATTGTTTTATTATCTTTTTCAGAATTTACTCGTGTATTTTTTATATTATATGTAATAACTTTGATATATTAAATAAACCTAAACAAAAAACATGAAACTCTAAAATCTGTTGTTTTTTCTATTATAAAAAACAAAATTAATTTGCAACTGTCAGCTTTAAAACAAAATATATGATAAGATAACTTTTATTCTGCAAATGACAGAATTCTATTATTCAAGACGCTTTATAACTAGGACAGCATCTAACGGCGTTTACTGATTGTTATTTTAACCCACCTTCCCCCGTCCCCATGCCTATTAAGATAGCAATCGATGCCATGAATCGTAATAAACCCGTTGTTATCCCTTTTTGATTTTTCGTTATTTTCAAATAAAATCTATACTCATGTAATTGCTCGCAGCGAAATGGAAAATTTGAAAGAGCAAGTTCTGTAAATCTATGTCCCTGTTGTACTCTATTCCATACTTTAATTTCCGTAGATAACCAGGTCGGAAGTCATATCCGGGAATTTAGGTTTTCCTTTCCAAAACCTTGATTAATTTGATTCAGCTAAACGGTTTCATTTAAAAAGTGGAACAGCAATGTTTTAGCAAATGTTTCAAACGAAACGAAAGATCCTTTTAAATTCAAAGAAATATTGCTTTGAAAAGAGTATATCTAGAGGAGGGAATATTTACAGCATATTTAAGAAACAATGAAACGATCAAAGATACTATATTTTCAAAAAATATAAATAAACAGATAAAAAGTTAAGTAATTTTATTTTGCTTCGTCGGGCCCTTGTAGGTGATCTTCTTGTTGCTTTGTCTTCCTTTAAGACATTGAGTACTTTTGTTATGGTCATTGGGTTTTCTTTTGTATGTTTCTACATGAGCATTTCAATGTTTTACTTATTTAACCTTTTGTAACCATGACAACTGTTAGAATTTCACTTGGCGGGGATTCAATTTATTTACACTGTCTCGTTTATAGGAACATGGGGGGGGGCTAAGAGTGAGGTTTGGTGCATCATTAACCGTTCTAAACTCACCAGCAGTATTTATTCTGCTGACCGTTCCAAGGCGGCGCCCGTCTGTGTTCCTCAGATGTTTGTCTATGTTGTTTTATACTGTTTCGGTGACACTTTTGTGTCTCTTGTTGTTTTCTCGTCTACGGTAAGTATCTTCCCCTTTGCCCCTAGTTTTTATTTATCCCCCCTCTCTCTCCGGGTGCCATGTCCCCTTCCCCTGTGTCTTTAGACTTTATGTGTCTAATAATGAATCATTTATTTCTTTTCTTTTGGTTCCTTGTCGGTTTCTAATTATTTATTCCTAGGTAGTGGCTTGCCTGCCCGTGCTCTGCCTTGTGCCCTTTCCTGTTTTTGTTTGGGGTCCTCTTGGGCTCTTTGCCACTAGCTCTTGTTACTGGGTCGGGTGGGGGCTGCGTTCATTGAACGCCGCCTTTCCTTGATGATCTTGTTTTTCATGTTTTATATCTTTGAATAAACGATCACGTAAGTGCTTTTAACAATTTCATACAGAGACTTAGATTTACATGTGTACGTAGATGTTAAGGTCAGTTGACATACAGTTGTTATTTTAACACAAAATTGCCTTCATTATAAAAGTCTACTGCCAATAATTTTCCTCTTAATCAAGTAGAAATGCATTATAAGGATGATACATTTCCTAAGATTAGTTTTATCTAAGCATTTAAGGTGTAGGTAAAAATGGCTTTATTTAAATATAAATTGTTTATCTAAATGTGTTACTGTCGTCTAAATATGTTACTATTATCTAAATTTGGTTACTATCTCTAAAATAGGATATTACCAGTCTGTTAAGATGTCAACTTGCACTTAGCTGTATCCAGTTCTTATTATGTGCATTTGATAACATCTCTGCAATAAGGTCAAACGGGCCGATAGGTTTACGAGCCGGAGTAGTAATAATCTAAAGATTATTGATCGCGAGGGTTCAAATCACATCAAGGGAGAAGCCGCTGTTTCCTTGGGCATGAAACTTTACTCTCATTGCTTAGTACTGGTTAGTTCCAGGAATGGATTCAATATTGTGTCAAAAAGCATATAACTTTCATTCTTATAAAAAGGAATTTGAAATGCATTCTGGGCTAAAAATGAAGAAAAGGTATAGACAAGTATAAATTAAAGTACTTATTTGTTTGGGTCAAAATCTAAAATAACTGGTAAAATTTCAAACTGTACACTGTCCCATTTAGAAATGATTCCGGTATATAGATGAAAAGTAAAGATCTCGACTAAAATTATCCGACATTTACATAATGAATGGATAAAGGTTTACTTAAAAATTTCATTTAACCTTACAGCCAGCCTGCCTGGAGACTCCAGCAGTGTAAGCAGGGTCTGTAGCCGACTTTAAGTTTTCATCTTAATGTCTCCAAAATTGATTTTGGACAATTCCATTAATAACAGCTTGACGGGTCCGTGTAAGAAATTTCTGCATAGGAATTTAAATTTTTCACAAGCCTTTGTTATTCTAACTCTGGAAACAGTAAAGTAAAGTAAAATGTGTCTCAAATCGTGACACACTACTCTTATTGTTACTGTTTATTGTTTTTTATACCTCTTTATCTATGGATAACATGTTTGTACATTTCTTCTTTATTGATATTATATCATTGCCATAAATATGATTAACATATTAGTCATGGTAGTATATTAGCTAAAGCAGAAAACGTCTTGAAATTCTATCTGAACAAATTGCATCGGACAAATAATTATCAAAAACAAATCTTAACTAAGATAATTTGAATTTGATTGTCTGACAAAGGAATTTTAATAACAGTCAATTTCTTTAATTATATATATTTTTGTGATTTATACAGCGTGTAACTTTATCTTGATACACCACTAGATTCCGATCAAAGAAAACTAAATCGCATGCACATGTGAACACACGTATGCGCGCACACATGCATGCTTACGCACATACATATAACTCCATTATTACAGCAAAACTTATTAGAAACTATGACAGAACATTATTATGTCGGCAGTATTAATGTTATGCAAATTGGAATATTTTCCAAAATGATAACTATACTTGTAGATCTTCAGTTCTTTATATAAGTAAATTTGGTACAAAAGATAAGATAGTGTCAGACGGAATTCATCGATATTAACTTACGCAAACATCTGATCAATGGTAAAGGTGGCATTATATACGTTGGCAGGGGAAAAATTATGACAATTATTGTGACAAACAATGATATGACGACTAAGTCTGCGCTGTGACTAAGTCTATTGATTATCATACAGGTGAAATTTACTTTCAAGTAAAATGTCTACATCCGCAACTGACTGAACTAGAGTCGACTCGTGTTATCTCGAAGTCGTTGGGACCATCGTAAAAAAGTCGAGATAAACGTTAAAAGGTTTGATAAGGGTTTATATTAATCAAAATTATGCTAAGTATGCTTGTGTGTTTTTGTAAAACATTGGGCGATGCTTTCCCACGTAGCAGCTTATAATAATAATAATAATAATAATAATAATAATAATAATAATAATAATAATATCTTTATTTAAAGAAGGTTACACATTAAGAACATACAATAACAATCATATATATCTTATTTCCAATGTGGCCTTCTGAAATAGAAAACAACAACAACAACAACAACAACAACAACAGGATATGCATAGGTAGAAAAATGAATGTATAATATGTAATTTTTAGAATAATACAACTCATATACTTTATTATTTGCTTATTACCCCCACAAACACCGATGCATGTTATATATGACTGAGGCAAACGTTCATATATTAATTTACAAAGTAATCCCATATGCACAAAATTAAACCTGATTGAAAGCACATGCAATATGAAATAATAGGCTATCATTACTGTTTATTTAACAATCACATTCACATTTCATGATAATTTCGCAATCATGAAAATCTACCTTTACTATTGTTTGTTGATCCATTAAAATTTACCTTAACCATTTTAGTTGTTGAGAAATTATAATTTTAATAATTTTCAAAATCTACCTCAAACTATTTTTTTCAAAAATGTATGCGCAAATACAAGGGTTGTTCAAAAAGTAATAGGATTAGGTGTCTTGCGTATTCATATTTCATTAAGTTGTACTTCGAATTTATTTATGATTTATTCTCTGTTTGTCTACAAAAGGATCTACGGTAAACGAGTCGCGAACTGTCCGGCATTTTTATGTCTGCTTCGAGTCTACTTATATAGTTCTGACAAAAACACTATCTTATCGTATTTGTTATCAATAAATTAATATAATAACGATTAACGGTAATAATCATTACTATTTTCATCAATTTTGTTTAAATAACTGATAGACTGTGCTAAGTAGAAAAAGATACTTTTCAATTAATACATATTGTTATTTTTCTGTCTATGATCATATTGTTTTAAAACGTACTATAACATGTGTAATGAATAATATAAATCGCCTTTACATTAACATTTAAGTCCATGCCTGTTGAGTTTCAAGATTACTCAAAATATATGAAAAAACCCGGAGAATGGCCGGCTATTGGGCATGTTTTTATATTATTTTTTGAGAGTGGAACGAAATTGTGATCGTGTTCTTCCTCGCTTCGTTTCCATATATGAAGCTTGGTCATAGTTACATGATTCAGACACCAAGAGCACTAGGGACAATACTTTCAGAAAGAATGACGCTTGTTACATTTTTTATTTATTTTACGATGTCAAGAACGTCATTTATTGTATTGTTAGCGTGCGCCGGGTTTCTTACCCATTGTCATTTGAGAATTTCACAGAATTGTTATTTTTTGTAAATATTTAGTATTAATTTTTTCACTATATAGAAAATATGTTCCGATAATTGTGTACGTAAATTAAAAAAATGTGAGCAGTAGAGCTGCAGTCCTATTACTTTTTGAAGAACCCTCGATAAGTACATGTATGTACGAAAAAACTAACATTACTCTTTTTATAAATCAATAGTAACTGACTTTGCTTTTTGTACAATTTAACAAGATTAGAAGAAATAAATCCTTCCGACCCCAAGGGTGTTTCGCCGACATAATTGCATTGTATTGCACGGTTTTACCTATTGATTTTAACCTTACAATATA